TCAAAAATATTGAGATCTACAAATGTCAACAAGATTATATAAATGCTTAACACTAGTAAGCTGATAAAATAACATAATATTATAAGTATACAATTTAATGTTAGAAACAGGGGAAAAGTGTTAAGAAAATAACCTATTTCTAATAAAGACTTCAGCAAGTCGCCTATTTCTAAAAGGTTTTAGAAGGGTTTTTTCCCCTATGGGCTCCAGAAAGTAGCATATTTCTTATAGGCTTCAGAAAGTCGTCTTTTTCTAATAGACTTTATAAAAATCGTCATTTCTACTAGGCTTCAAAAACTCGTGTTTCTAATAGGCTTCATTTGGGGCCTTTTATAGCCGACTATACGGTATGGGTTTTTCTCATTGTTGACGGTCGTACAGTTGCCTACAATTGCTTACATTAACTTCATTTGAACTTTGGTGGTTAGTTGTCTCATTGGCAATCATACCACATTTTCCTTACTTTTATATTCAGCAAGATAGCTTGATTGTATATAATACAGTGGTGATAGAAACATATTGTCCTCGACCTAAAGCCCTTAAAGGCATGGGTGTTTAACTTTTGGATAAGATTAAAAATTCTATTTAAGTTTACAACTATTATTTTCTGATATTAACCTTTCATGCTTTGTCTTCTTAATAGAAGGAATGTTTTATGCCATGTTTATAAAACGACACTTTAAACAAACAGGACACGAAACGATACCTTTCTTAAACAATATTAATTTTAGTCAACATTGTTATAAAACATTTACATTTTGGATTTGTCCCGAATCACGTGCTGTATACATGCATCAGCATTAAATTTCTTATACAATAGCAGTTTAATAAATGGGACTCAATCACAAGCTTTCTCCAGGAGAACAAGTATATATTTCTTGACCATTATCATACAAGAAAGCATTATATGTGTAAATATTTGATACTTGACGTCCAGCAAACAATTTTTAATTTTATGTTATTACTCAGTCAAAGATTTCATATCAATGATGCTTAACTATAGACATTCTGCCCAATAAAAAAGTCAAAATATAGAACTTTGATGAAAGTGCAAAAGAACAAAATGTTGATTGATGTATGCTAACCAATAATTTGGTTGATTGTTGTCCGTTTTGAGTTGATAAAACTGTTTATTTTTGTTCCTGCAGTATAAACACAAATAACCGTTTAAATATGTTCCAATCACCAACCAGCCCTTTTACACACTAGTTAGTTATATCTCCGCTGGACTTTCCGTGCATGAATACGACGAAAAGACAAACAAAACAGTTCACAGAGAACTAAAAGAGCTTTTCTGGATTTACCTTCATCAGGAACGCCGCCGAATATTTGAAAGCCAAGGTTGTTTAAAGACTGAAACAGATGAAGAGCTATATGACCAAAAACGGACCTTAAAATAATGGCCGAACCAATCTAAGGTCAACTTTGCCAGAGGGAGCTGAAAAAACTGTGAATTATCAATTAAGAATTATTTACCAAATAACATTGCATTGTTGAATAGAACCTTTTACATATACGGAGCTAAAAAAACTGTCATTTTCATGAAAATTTTGAAAGACAAAACTATGTGATCTGGTCAATCTGTTATAATTGTACAATTATAACAGATTGACCAGATCACATAGTTAAAAAAATGGACGCAAAGTAATTGAAAAAACTCACATTGACCCTTGCAAATAGGTGAGCTGAAATGTTTTAGCTGCCAGATACCTTTCCGTCAAATAAATGCAATTGGCACTCATACCACATCTTCTTATTTATTATATATGTCTATTCCATGGGTAGTTGACATTTTATTTTTGGAAAGAAGTCATCATTATGATCCTCAAATTACCGCAAATGATTTTTTTAAATGAAGTCTTGTTTTGCTTCAATTTTCTGTGTTGTGTGTAATTTTGTTTTGCAATGTTTGTTGGTAACTGCCCTGTCTAAACTTTAGCCAGAAAAAAAAACTGTTTTCATTTTAATATTTCTTATCGCACCTCGGGTAAATTATGTCGTTATGATTGGTTTAACGCCGTCACATGGTGACCCCCTATGGATCTGTAGGGGGTCAGTGGATTTCATGTGGGGTTCATGACGTCATGCACGTTTACTATTGATGGTGACGTCATCGATTAATATTTTTGTATTTCATTGCTTATTTTGTATAACTTAGCAGGAAAAGTCCAATGTGCGATAAATTCATTTAACGGTTCACTACTGACCCCCTACGGATCCATAGAGGTTTAGTAAAATCCAAAGGATAGTCGGCCTTCGGCCTCACCCCCTGTTTTCATTTTGATATTTCATATGAGGCCATTATTAATGGTCTACGAAAGAGAGGCGGAAGACGCTAAGAGAATGATTAAAACTGACAAGTCGAGAGAAACTGACAACACTATCATGGCAAAAAAAAACCAAACAAGTTAAGGATGTTCGCTCCTCTTGTTTTTGAATTTTTGCCAGGTATTCGGAATCCTCTGGTTTTATCCATGTAGTGCCATTAAAAAATTTTGCCCACTAACCCCTACTTTTCTTTTCATAATTTGATTAAATATAGTTTAAAATGCCATCTTTGAAAATCTTATTAAATCCTTGTTATTTTTTTATACTTTTAGATAGAAAAAAGGTGCCAATGTTAAATGTATGAAAAATCTAGAGAGAATCATTTCCCGCCAAATTTTCAATGGCTTATATCTCGAAAACAAGCACACGGACCCTTCATTTTTATCTGCTTTTTTAGTTCCTTTATTTATATACTATCAATTTATAACAGTCTTTTAAAAAGCTTATTATTTTGAAACAGAGTAGCGAACATCCTTAACAAAATACTACATTATAAACTAAAGACTAAAGCAACTCTCAGATGCACCTACAGCCCCACCAAGTCTAGGGGTGATCACAGGTGCGCCGGAAGGGTGAGAAGATCTATATAACCAATGATCTTGTATGTAGTTCCTCGAAATATGATTTTGAATTGCTCTCTTTATATTTTTTCCCTTTATAGATGAGATGTTACAATAAAATTTGTAAATCTTATTGCTAGAATATCCAAGTCGGTGACCATAAAACTGTTTTATGTAATCAAAACGGAATTTTATTTATCAACAACATATGATTTTCTAAGGAAAATCTATGGATTTAAAATTGGAGATTTTATGATTTAAAATCATATTTAAAACGGTTTTCGTCAATTAATGTGCTTTCTATACAAATGTTCACCTATTCTGAAATAAATCAATTAGTAATATTTTAGGAAATAAAAGAGATAATTGAATTAATGTTTTTTTCGATTTTCAGTAATAGCTCAACGAGCAAAAGTTGTATGCAAATTTTACCAAAACCTGTGACATAGCCTATTTACTGTCCCTTGACCTGAAATCGATTTCTATAGTCTTTTATAAGATTGCATAAACAGGTGGAATCAGAGGGTAACGTTGACGTTCTAATCAATTGTCGTCATCAAAAGGTTAAGGGTCAGACACTTCATATAGTTTAAATAGTTATTTAAAGAATAATCGGTTGTATTAATTCACAATAGTTAAGTTTTTCCTATACATTTTTCTTGTCAATATTTTGACACAAATATTGAATTTTGATGTTATATTAATATTAAAATGATAAACGTCCTTTGTTTCGATTTGAATAAAGATGTTATATTTCGATATTATTTGAATATGTATTTACATATTTTTCTTGTAAAATCACGTTACAATATTCTTTTCACATTTAAAAGAATTGACTGTTATTTAAGTGTTTTGTATGACAATAGCACAGTATAGAATAGAGAAGGAAAGTTTAAATAATTTTGGTTATGAAACAAGTAACAAACGTGAGAAATTAAATAATCGGAATCGCAAGTTACAATAATCGAAATAATATAAAAAACGTAGATGTGGTATGATTGCCAATGCAACAACTATCCACCAGAAACCAAATGACGAATATGTATGCAACTATAGGTCGCTGTACGGCCTTCATCAATGAGAAAAACCCATACCGCATAGCAAGCTATAAAAGGCCCCGCCATAACAAAATGTAAAACAATTCAAACGAGAAAATCAACAGCCTGATTTATGTTCAAAACAGCAAACGAAAAACAAATATGATATATTGTACGAAACGACATCTATTGAATTACAGGCCCCTGATTTGGGACAGTCAAATACAGAATGAGGTGGGGTAAACATGTTTGCGGACGTCCGACCCTCCTTTTATCCCGCAGTGGAGTAACAGAACACCATAAGAACAAACTATAAAAATCAGTTGAAAATGGTTTTTCCGTTTGAATGGTTTTACACTAGTAATTTTTTTGGGCCCTTTATAGCTTGCTGTTCAGTGTGAGCCAAGGCTCCGTGTTGAAGACCGTACTTTGACCTATAAAGGTTTACTTTTACAAATTGTAACTTGGATGGAGACTTGTCTCATTGGCACTCATAAGACATCTTCCTATATCTATTATAACTCAACAGACCGATAAAAGACAAAACAAACAACGAACAAAAACACTAAAGACACAAAGTACATTGTACAGATGTGGGAGTACTCTAAGTTAGTGGATAGAATAGAGAATAGAAACGGAGAATGTGTCAGAGAGACAACAAGCCGACCAAAGTGCGGAAAACAGTCCAAGTCCACCAATAGGTCTTCAACGCAACAAGAAAATCCCGCTCCCGAAGACAGGCTTCAGCTGGCTTCTTAAATATAATGTGTACTAGTTCAGTTAAATGGACGCCACACTAAACTCCGAAACATACAAATGAACCAAAGTTTTAAAAGCACACAAGGCTAACAAAAGTTAGTCAAAAGCTAGTTCAAAGCCAATTACAACAAAAATCATCATTTTGTTTATAATAATTATCTATCAGTTAATGGCTTTCTCACATGGTATTAGTTTCTGTGTAAAATCAAAGTAAAACGATCCGTTTTTTTTTGCAGCTTTTACATGTAATAAAGCGCCTCATGTATCAAAGTTTTATACATTCTAGTTTTCAAAAAGTTTTGGTTGGTTGTACCTAATGAAGGTAAGTCCAGAAAAGCTCTCTAATTTATAAAGATTGCAGCACAGATGGGAATAAATGTATACAATATCGAAGTAAAATTTGTATTCATGCAAAAATCGCATAGTGTGTCCACAATAAAAGTTGGAGAAACAACGTACCATGCAGTAAACGTTTATGTTTGTCGATCAGGTTTTCAAATGTTCTGTTTCTTTTTATATCTCAATCGTGCTCACAAATTGTTTTATCTATATTTGGTTCTATCTCGAGTGTACTTGTTGAGTGTTATTCCAGAATTTTGATTCTTGCCGCTGAAATCGATATCAAACTTTTACATACCATAATATAAAAAATGTTATCTGGTGTCCTTTAATTAAAGAAAAGTTCCATGCTCGGATATCATACGATTTGTTATGATATATATGTGAGCATCGAAGTATAAAGATGAAATTGTGTACTGCATTTCAGCAGTGGATACTTTATTAAAAAGTTTTAGTATACTCAAGATATAAGAAGGGAGATAATTCAAACAATAAAGATAGTAATCTATAGTCAGCTGATAGTATGAGTGACAAACTGACAACCAAGACCTTCCTTTACGTGGAAGAATTACATTTCGATGGTAGCGTATTTCATTTCAAGAAGAATAGTTTTAAATTGTCTTCCAGTTGCAACTCCAAATGGAATTTATTCAAATGTACCCACAATGATTAATATGTTTTGTTAGAAACTGTAGATGAACATTGAATTCCATGAATGTCGTATAGCCGGAAACAGTTAAGACTGTTGTCATGTTATCAGAGATTTTTTTAAATTACGGTCGAGAAAGATGCATGAAAGACTTTCTATCTTTAGTAGCTTGATAATTGTTATGCCTTTTTTTTTTTAAAAGATGTACGTGAGATCACGAGACCTGAAAACAAATATACAAGAGAAAGACAATAAAGAAATCGACAATGTACATGGGCTGAGATGCATAAAATTACTTAAATTAAGATTTGTTCCGAACGGACGGATTTGTCTACATGTCCCACGATAAATTAGTACTACGATTGGATATCTTAACTTAAGTAGTTTTATGCATATCAGGCCAGCACTTTATTTTAAATTTGAACTAACAAGTCATAATAAAATTATATTTAATTACCTGTACACAATACCTTTTGTTTAAAAGTACATCTATTTTTGCTGAGAGTATGTACACCTGGTAGAAGTACATTTTTCAATTTGACATTTATGTAGCATTTTCCTTCAATTAAACATTTTGTGTATTTGCACTTGATCAAGGAGAAAATGAATTGAAAAAGAATGAATTAAGAAACAATTAAACATTTTTTTTTTAAATTAAGGAATTACTGTCTCAATGATGAAAATTAATTATAAGGAATATGAAAAGTGCCATCCAAATACAATTTTAAAACATAAAGGAGAATAGCGCATTCCCTCTGGAAACCTGTTAGAAAACAAACACAGCACACAATTACCATTACAAACAATCATGACAGTATAAATAAATTCAAATTAGGTACACAAATATCTATGTAAAAATAAGAAGCAATGATTTATGACGTGGGATTGAAAGAAATTCAATCCTCCGCATGTTGTATAGTCCATCGGCCCAAGTAGGGTTTAGACATAATAACATAAATGAAATACACAAAGACAACGCAAAAATAAGAAATTGAACTTTAATGTTTGAGATAAAAGTTGTATTTTTTTTTATCATGACAGTCCCTGGCTTAACAGAGATATTATCATGAGTTGGTCCTATTTTCTTGATCATTTTACCCCAACTGAGCGTTTATTTTGCATTTTACATAATACGTGCTATATTTTCTTGAATGGAGTTTATAGCGGTGGGTGTTCCACATTAACCTCAATATGAGGATATGGGTCCTATTGGTAAGATATCCATTACAACAATTATTTCGATTTAGATTTAAAAAAAAAGCCCCAAAAAATCATAATTTTCAAGTTATAGACGATAAAAATTCATTACGCGTTTTTCTCTCGCAAAACGTATATTCAGGAACTGCAGAACCCCCCCCCCCCCCCCCCCCACCCCCCCCCCCCCCCCCCCCCCCGAAGCACCTATACCACCCATTTTTTTTGGTTTGATAGACATAATTGTTCAATTTTTAGTTTGAGCATAGAGTTTTGTGAACTACTGTTTTTCTTTTTGTCTTTTTTCTTCTTATCATGGAATCGATTATATATCTTCCACTAACGTTTTTTTTTTGTTATTATCTTTGTAATTTCTTCTCCTTGTTTTGTGTTTTTTCATCTACTTCTCTTTTATGAAGTATTACAAATAAATTATAATATAAATAATAAATAATAAATCTTTGTATTCATTATCTGCATGAGGCAAATGAAAAGTAGTGCTTAAATTATTACATTCGCTCTTAAGGTGGTACCCAACACCTTGACTAATATTAATTTGGCTCGTTTAATTTTCATAAAATTTTGACAAAATGTTTACTTTGACCCTTTGACAAAAATATAAAAATTTCAAAAAATTTCCACCAACCACTTTATCAGAAAAATTTCATTGGTTATATAGCAGTTTGACAAACACTAATTTTGATCATTGAGAATCTTGATATTTCCTTAACAATACAACATGATTAAAACGTTTAGCTGATTTTTACAGAGTTATCTCCCTGTAGTGTTAGGTACCACCTTAAGTAAAAGAAAATAAGGCTTTATAAATTTCGTGCGTCCAAAGCGCTTTTCTGGATTTATCTTCATCAGGAACGCCAGAACCTTTTACATTTGAAAGCCAGGAAGGCATATGACTTAAAGTATTGCTTTGCTTACTAAGACGGTTTAACTTTGATAAAACTGTTGTATCATAACAAATAGAACTTATTTTTGATTTATTTCTAAACTATACTCCTTTGTATAAACATGTTTTATTTCAAAATATTCTTTCGTTAATATTTAAAAGAAAAAGAAAAACATTTTCTTGTGTAAAATCGAACATGTCGAATGCTAAATAAGAATTTTAAAGAAATAACTCAGTTAACTAAATAAGTAAAACAAAATAAATGATTTTTTGATCAATACAAAAAAGGAAAGAAATCAGTATTATTTACGTATATAACAACCATTGTTTTAAAAATTACGATGCAAAAAGTAATTACAATAGAAACAAATATGTACAAAACACAATGTTTAGCCTATCAAATAACTGTATGACAAATAATATATTGACATTTGTTATTGTAATCGTTTTGTGCCACTGTACCAGTCACAAGGAGTTATAATTCGATGGCGCAGCTGGACAACGTAAGTCTGTAACAATTTATTAACTCTTATTCATGGCTGTGAATCAGAAAGATGAAAACTTAATTTTTTTTTCATTTTTTAATTTATTCTTTAAACAAAAGTACATGTACATTCTCAAGTACGTGTTTGCTTTGTGTGTAACTCATGATCATTAGACCCTGATAATTCATTTCCGCTGAAGCGTCGGAAAGGAGGAAAGAAAAAGTGCCGAATTGATATATCCTTAATCACGAATCATCATTTTGGAGAATTATGATTCAACGGAGTAAGGTTGAGATTTAAAAAAAAAAACTTGTTAAATCCAAACACATGTTTTTGTGTCTGTCCGAAGTCCTATAATCCTCGTCCTTTTTGCTTTCATTGTTAAATTCTTCAATTTCAAGCATTCATTGCTATTTTGTCTTGAAGTCAAATGAAGTGACAGTCATTTCGTGTCAAAACTATACCTTATCCTGACTTGAGCTGAAAAAAATCATCACACCTTTAATTGCATATATTAGAGCGTTTCCAGAAGTTAGGTATAGTACACACAAATGTACTTCTGATCTGAACAACAGGGCAAATGTGCCTTATTATTTTAATTTTACATATTTTTTGTATTGTTCATGAGAAACTTTCATCAAGAGTTCTACAACCGGATCTCAAGTTCTTAAGCTTTCATTTCATACTATAATCACCCAAATGTTTTACTTATTGACAAAGTTACAGCTATGCATAGGAACTATTTGGTTTAAATCTTGTATGTTCTTTCAGACTGGGTCCGAATTAGTGGTTCTATATCTCAGTTAAAATGCAGACTGATGATCACGTAGCTCTTAGAGTTTCTACGTATTTATACATCCCTGGCATTCAAATGTTAAGCTTTAAGCGTTCCTGATGATAACATTTTTATAAAGTGTTATTTTCATTGAATGTATTCGCTACTTTCTCAGACTCGAGGCGATTTAGATCGACACATTGCATATTTACTGGTCTATCGTTGAAGACCGTATGTTGATTTACGGATGTCTCTGGTTTTTATGTCGTTGAATTGATGTTTCGTTGACGTATACACGATTGGTTGTAGAAAGCATCCTATTTTAGTAAGATATATCCCTCATTATATTGTACGACCGACTTAATGAATATATTATGAGTGACTATCCTAGCATGTGTCTTAGACTGTAAGTTAAAGCTATCATTAGGTAGTTCTAAACATGATAGTCTAAATTTTTGTGCCTGTCCCAAGTCAGGAACCTCTGGCCTTTGTTAGTCTTGTATGTTTTTTTTAATTTTGGTTCATTTATATGTTTCGGAGTTTAGTGTGACGTCCATTTTCGCTGAACATTTACTTTATATATTTACTTTAAAAATATTTTATTTTAAAAACATCATGTACATGACATATACATATAAATGCAGTAATATATACAGAAAATACAAAGGGATTCGGAAACAAGGTTTCCCTTATATTAATCCGTCTCCCTGTCAAAAGAAAAAGGGAAATATCTGCTAATAAATAGTTGATATTTTCTCTTCAGATCTACTTTATATATTTCCGACTATGCACTTAATTGTTTTTATCCTGCAAACAGTTGTCTCTGAGCTTCATAGAAATCGACATTAGTTCAAACGCGGACCGCGAAGAGGACACCCAAATAAATTGTTACGCCAAAAGAAATATTCAGATAACCGCTTACTCAACGTGGAAGCGGGGGTACCAATTTGTGTTCCTCGTATTTGTACAATAGTTG